AGGCTAGCACTCTACCACTTGAGCCACAGCGCCACTTCCGGCTTTTTTCTTATGTGGTGCTGAGGAATCGAACCCAGGGCCTCGAGCATGCAAGGCAAGTACTCTACCACTGAGCCACCTTCCCAGCCCCCAGGCAGGAACTTTCTGAACAGAGTCCCAGGTCACAACAAATTGGAGAGAGACTCGATAAATGGGACTCCCTTAAAATAAAAAGTTTCTGCAGGGGGCTGGGAAGGTAGCTCAGCGGTAGAGTGCATGCCTTGCAAGCATGAGGCCCTGGGTTCGATTCCTCAGCACCACATAAACAGAAAAAGCCGAAACTGGCGCTGTGGCTCCAGTGGTAGAGCACTAGCCTTGAGCAGAAGAGCTGAGGGACAGTGCCCAGACCCAGAGTTCAGGCCCCGTGACCGGCAAAAAAAAAAAAAAAAAAAAAAAAGGTTCTGCAGAATTAAAGACATAGCAACCAAACTAGAAAGACGGAAAAAAAATATTTACCAGCAATATATCAGACAAGGGGTTAATAATATCCAGTATAAACAGGGAACTCAAGAAACTAATCCCTCTCAACCCAACAAAACCAATTACTAAATGGGCAAGGGAACTAAAGAGACTTCTCAGAAGAAGAGATAAAAATAGCAAAGAAACACGGGAGGAAATGTTCACCATCTCTGGTTGTAAAAGAAATACAAATAAAAACAACCCTGAGATACTATCTGACCCCAGTCAGAATGGCCCACATCCTAAAGTCAGCCAAGGACAAATGTTGACAAATTCCCACTGCTGGTGGGAATGTACACTAATATAACCACTGTGAAAATCAGTCTGGAGGGTCCTTAGAAATCTAAATATACACCTATGACCCAGCCATACCACTTCTAGGCATCTATCCTGAACAACAAGAACCAGGATACAAGGACATATGTACCTCCATGTTCATCGCAGCACTGTTCACAATAACCAGGATATGGAAACAACCCAGATGTCCCACCACAGATGAATGGATTCAAAAATTGTGGCACCTGTATACAATGGAATATTATGCAGCCATTAGAAAAGACAACATAATGGCATTTGTAGGGAAATGGAGCGAACAAGAAAAAATCATGTTGAGTGAGGTGAGCCAAGAGCAAAGAGACAAACGGCACATGGTAAGTGGATGTTAAATCCAAAACATAAGGAGATATGACAAAGTAAACAAGATTCGAGAAACAAAGGAACCTCTGGTCGAATCATTGCTAAGTGATTCCATGCTGCTGATCACATATACGGTATATATGTGCATCAGAGGGAAACTAGGAGGAGGACACAGAAACAGAGGGAAATGGGAAAACATACAACAGCGGGACCCATCAGCTGCACTGGACATTGATCAAACTGAACTAATCAACTCAATGGCAGCGATGGGAGGGAGGGAATGAGAGGGAAAGAGGGAACAGCTGACACTAAGCAAAAGGAAAGAAATGTATATTATCATCCGATGTGGAAGAAATAACTGTATTGTCAAAGCTCATAGAACTCAAACTTTATAGACCAGATAAAGACAATTTGCCCCATGGGGGGGGGGAGAAAGATACTCACTACCTTACTTATGTAACCTCTCTGTACATCACCCTGACCATAAAACTATTATTGAAAAAAACTAAAACCCCATTAAACATTATTTGTTCTAAAAAAAAAAAGTCCTCAGGAGAAACTCGGAGGCGAAACTTTTGCCCCTTCGCTCTGATGTTGAGTGTTGAGTGCTCCTCTCTCCAGAAGAGAAGAGCATACACACTTCGTATAAAAGTGACACTCAGCCTCGTGCTGGTGGTGGCTCATGTCTAGCTCATCCTAGCTGAGGCTGAGAGCTGAAGATGCTAAGTCAAAGCCAGCTTGAGGCAGGAAAAAAAAAAATCAATGAGACTCTTCGCTCCACTTCAATAGCAAAAAAACAGAAGTGGCGTGATGGCTCAAAGTGGTGGAGTGCTATCCTTGAGCAGAAGATTAAAGACGAGAGCAAAGGCCCTGAGTTCAAGCCCCATGACCAACAAAATAAAATAAAAGTCATGTGATTGATTATATTTGATCCGGAAACTGGGGTGACAGGCATTCAATAGAAAAGACAGACAATAATGGCGGGGGGCGGGGGGGGGAGATGGGAAGGGGTGCAGGCGCAGGGGTTTATTTGGATTTTGTAGGAACGGAAGGCCAGCAATGTGTGTGGAGAGTCCAGCGCTCCCAGGCCTGGGATATGTTGCTGTCTGGGCTCACATTGGGGTTGTTTGTGCCTAGCAATGCAGGTTCCCCAGGAAGATACTCATCCAGGCTGGAGGGGTCTTCGTCCCCAGACACATCATAGATGTCAGCAAGCTCTTCTGTGCTGTAGGGAAGAGGATCGGTCCAGGACACCTCCAAATCATCCACGGACTGAGACGCTGGCGGGAAACTGGACGCTGCAGCCTGTTGGGCCTGCTCTGGGCCTTGGGGGACCCAGATTCTGGAAGGCTGCTGGGGGCTGAGGGCACAGGCCCAGGGGACCTGCATCTTATTGTTGGCCTGGTCCTGAGGGGCTTCCGGGTTTACAGGCCGTCCCTCCTCTTGCTGCTGCTGCTGCTGCTTCTTCAACTTGGACACTTGGTTCTTAAACCAAGCCTGGGAAGAGGGGAGAAAAGGGGTGCAGGCAAATAAAGATCAGAGCACCAGAGACTCTTCTCTCCTAGTGGGAACTGGCAGAAGGCTGTGAGCACGTGGAGAGCCCCTCCTTGAAAGGCCAATTATCTGGGGGAGCCCAGCGCTCCCCACCCCCAGCCCCACGGGTGTGTTAGGCCCCACCTGCTCCTGACAAGTGTCAGGAGTGGAGGATAAAGTTGGGGGAGGCCCCAGGTTTAGCGTGTCAGAGACATGGATGGGTCTCACCTTCACCACTGACTGGTCCAGCTGCAGCTGTAAGGCCAGGGCCTGGATGTTCTCCCATCTGGGGTGCTGGGTGATTGAGAAGAACTTTCTCAGCTCAGACAGCTGGTGCTCCGTGAACTTTGTGCGTCTCCGGCGAGGAGCTGGCGCCTTGTCTGCCGAGAGGATGCACAGGACACGTTTCTGACAAGCCTCCGCCTGGGGTCCTGCTGCTTGAGCCTGCTCCAAGGACCTGGGCCCTGCTCCTTCCTGTGGCCTCATTCTGTGGAGCCCGGATTGGACTCCCCCAATCCCAGCCTCCACAGGACTCTGGTTGGGTGTCATTTTGTCCTCCTGAGTCCCTGAAGCATCTTTCCTTTTTTTTTTTGTCATCGGTCATGGGGCATGAACTCTGGGCCTGGCCACTGTCCCTGCACACTTCAGCCCAAGGCGAG